TATTTTCTTTCTCATTCAGTGATTATAAAGCTGTAATTATTTTTTAAAAATATAAAAATATATGATTTTGCTTGAAAGTCATAGAATTTAATAGAATGTTTTCATCGTAGCCACAGGTATCCCGTGATSAGCACAAATCGTAGACAGCTAAAAATTATAGTAAAATGTCATTGTGTGGCTTGTGTATTGTTGTGGATCGTCGTGGTCCATTAAGGGTCTTTGTGGATGGTTCTAGGTTTTAGTAACTACGTACTTGAGTAATCCAACAAAGGGGGATTATAAGGGGTATGGAGGGCCAGTAATGGGTATATTGTGTAATTCTAGAAAATATCCATATCTACCCAAGGGGATTGGAATTTTTAAAGTGTACATCAAGGAAATTTTTTTTATTTTCAAAATCACTGGTATTGTGAGCAGTGTAGTAGAAGTATGGTTGCAGTATTTTTGTATGTGGTGTTCTCTTTTCAGAGATACTGTTGATTGCATCTACCCGTTAACCAYGTGAACGAAACATAATAATATGTAACATAAGAAAACAACTCCCAAGCGGCCGTCAATAATTTCCAAACACAGACAAACAGATAAGTAAACTCTGAACTTTGATATGCCAAATATAGATCTTTGACATCACGCGAAAACATGTTTTGTTCAGATGGGTTAACAGGTAGATGCAATTGACGGTATAAACATTTGAAATTTAAATATGCAAATGAGATGACATAAATTCAAGACTAATAACTTATTATACAAAAATGCTGTTATGGAAGGTACTGCTAGCTGTTCTTTTCATTTGCAAATCATCCTTATAACTGAAATATATGGTTTTGTACACTTTTAGTATATTTCACCTCTGAACACTTGTCATAAATTTCACTGCAAAATGTAACACATTCTTGAATTTATGTCATCTCATTTGCATTTTGATATTTCAAATGTTTGTATTTCTGAAAACAGAAGACCAGATACAAAAATAGTGCAAGCATACTACTACACTGTTCACATATGAGTGATTTTAGAAATATAATTTTTCCCTTGATATGCAATTTATTAAGGGGTGGGCACGGCTGTTTCAAATGCCCGAATTAGCAATGTATGCTAGATGTCATGCGCGAAGATTGTTGCGAGTTAATATTAAGCTATTTACCATATATGGTAAATAGTTTAATATCAAAGCCGATCAAATTTCRTAGAAGAGATTTAAACTTGGTTGAATCGAGAAGGAGATCGGGCGCAGTGAGTTTGCATGAACTAGAAGACCTACATTTACTAGAGGGGTCGGAGATTGAAGTTGAAAAATTGTTCTGTGGGTTAACATGGATATTTTTTTCCATGCTTCTTAGAACACCCAGTATCGAGGCGGGATTTTATGGGTAAGCCCGTGTAGTGCCAAAATATGCAATGTTTTTCAAATTTTAATGCCGTGTTTTGCTTCTAGCGAAAGCTTATCTTAGAAAACAAGACCTTTAACCCATAGAAAAGGTCTTTTTGAAAAGATCTGAACAGATTGTACGAATAGATGTGTCATCAATTTCTCAAACTTGTTGCGCCCGGTATACTGTATATACTTGACGTGATATTATCGCTCATTCACAATCATCTTATGTACTAGTACATGTTTATATGTAAATAAAATTCAAGTTAATGATATGATACACTTAAGAAATAGAAAAATAATCGTATGATATAGAAACTGATTTGTTAGTAGAAGTTAAATTTTTTATTTTTTAATTTTATGTTATATACATATAATTATTCGCTCTCATAATCGAGAATTTCGTYGCTGTCACTGTTGCCAATGAGGTCTTCGCTTTCCCAGACAATATTTATAGACGTTGTCATTCCTTTATTTTCTGGATCATTTAGACACAAATACCWTGCATTTGATATCATCCACGAATAAAGTAAATAATTTCCTCACGATCAGCGATCCCTTCTTGTTTGGAAGAAGTYGAATTTCGAAACCACGCTTCTCGTAATATGATATATAGTCTTACGCAAGAATAGCGTCAGCCATACTTTTGGTCAGCGGATTAAAATTCCTATTTGAAACAGCCGTGTGGGGAGGGCCCGAGGATGCTCTATTGTTTGGTTCTAAAATATGTCCATACCTCCCCCCCACAGAAGAAAGTTGTTATTTTTCAAAGGAYGAATTAAAAATGTTGCCACTTTTGGAAACCCCATACATTGGTTTAATTCGTGTCTTGTTTCTTTTGTTGGTAGGTGACTTTTCAAATAAAGATATTGTGCAGGATTTGAACAGACTTCTTAAACTTGGTCCTTCTGGGAACAGTGCAACATTACGTGAGTGCTCAAGTTTCTTGTACAAAAAATGAAAATAAAGATTTAGATACATATTACGAGTTAACACCATCCCGCAAATAGCAAATCCAAAACTTATCTACCGTAAATCCTATATTTAGCCCCCCGGGGGGCTTATTTATTTCAGGCATGTTTGAAGGGGGATTATTGGAGAGAGGGGGCTTAATTGAGAGGGGGGCTTATTGATTTAGTCGAACGCTGTCAGGATGTAATTAATATGATTGTAACTCAGGATTAAACAGAAGCATTACTATTGACCATCT